AAGACCCGACCAATGTAGTCATGTTCAGACGGAGAATCGTCGCCCGAGTAGGCTCGTTTGATCCTATCACCCCAGTTTCTTGCGAGTGGCCAATTTGAACAACCGATCTATGCGATAAACGGAGCAAACTTCCTCTTCTAGCAGCCGAGGGATTCCAGTTCAGAGTTTGCATCCCGTAGATGTCCAGCTGCGCCGCAGGCGAAGCGGTGTCCATTGGTTCTAGCCAACGCTTTGGGCTTTGCGCCTCGGTACAGCTATACGGAGACAACGTAGTCTGGTGGTGTCATTGATGATGTATGACATGCCCGGTCCGCAAAATAACGTCGTCGCTCGAACCCGTCTGCACAAGCTCTTACGATTTCAAAGGCACCATCAAAATGATCCTTCCACCCAGCGGTTGGAAGTATACTTTATGTTGACAGTCAAATCATCATTGGTTGACTCGGTTGCTGAGACAGAGCCATCGTCTTCTGTCGCGCAGTACCTTGCTGATGTATCACTGCAACGAGCTTGCGGGATACGAGGACCTGATAAACGGCACATGCCGCTTGGCTCTAACCGGGTCCTTGACATCATATCAGAGCCAAGGGACGAGTCTTGCCAGCGGCTTTCAAAAGAATGTCACTGTCTCGGCGCCTATCAGCGAGAGAATGTCAATTTTAACATATCAAACCGACTGGCTGGTACCAATGTGGTATTACAGAGATTAATGTACATGAAACCATGTTTTCCCGAGTTCTCTGATCTCTTCCCATTTCTGAACCTTGACCTCCTGGGCTACCCTTGGATCAGCTCGGTCTGCCAATGATAAGACTACATCCGTACTCAAACAAGTAGGTGAAGGAGTGGAAAGAGAGGCAACAGATAGTTAAGAGAACAACTTAATCAGGTGTGGAATCTTACAAGTACCATAGTTCACCTGAACCGAAGTAACTCGATGACGCTTGACATAAACCAACCGACCAAACTTAGCCAAAAAAAAAAAAACCAAGACGATGTTCCTGTGGTTCATGCGCCGACGCCGAGAATGTGGCAAGTTTGCCTTCGCCGGCGGCTTCTACGCAGATATGCATGCAGAAGCTCTTGTCCTTACCTAGGCACCAGCCAAGGCGTAGTTGGATCAACCACTCCAGCGGGTGGCACCATGGTTGCATCCACTTCGTGGTTTCTTACAGTTCTCCCAGAGACCCGCGAGGTTGGGACATCGTTGACGTCCATCCTCAAGGATTCGAGTCCCCCCCCCTCCGGGCTTCTTATCTTTGACAGGCTCAACTTGGCACCATACACGGCCGTAGGTGATAGCAGATGCGCCGAGAAGACCATGAGAGGACTTTTTTTCACCTCCAATCTATCCTCAGTTCGGATACTTTGCGGCCGTAGGTGGGTGGCAATGTCATCATCTCTAGTCCTGTCCAGTCGTCTATCGTCTCACTTTGTCCCAGATTCCATTGATCGTAAGATAAAGAAGTTACTCACAGCTACGGCATGCTTCCGTTGGTTTGCCATGCCGTGCCGCTCTCACAAGCTCGGAAGTCGGCCTTCGTATTGCACCCATCCGTGTTGGGAGACAGTCGAGGGGGCAAGCGACTGTCGGTTGGTTAGTCGCCGTCGCTCTCTCTCCTTAGTCCTTCTCTGCTATCTGCATGCTCATTCCATAGGGCCACGATGAGATCATCGTTCATGGCCCTTCGATTTCGGGATATCGCGCCAATGATTTCTCCCAAGGATAGGCAGTTGAGACTTCGTTTGCTACCTAGGCCGGCCGATAACGACGGGTGGCGTAAGGTGAAAGTTAAAGGCTCGATTGACTTAGGCCGGTACTCATTTCATTCAATGTGAAATACGATCCTCTTTTGTTCACTCGTAGCTGGCCGCAGAGGATACGGCATCTCCAACCACATTATTTTGGGAAATTTGCGGTAGTGGTCCCGAGGCGGTGGTCCTGAGAGAAAGCAACTTCTGATACCCTTGTAGGTATTGTATTCGGCTCTCAAATCAGGACAGGAGCACTGAGGCCTCATTCAGCCAAGCCGCTCTCTCGTCTCACGCGATTATTTGTCTCTTTCTGAGACACGACAAGAACGTAGCAATGGTTGTAAAGCCCTTCGAGAGGGCCATCAGTATCATGCTGCCAAAGCCTCAAGAGGTCTTCTGCTCAGCAATTACTGGCACCGAGGTTCCTTTGGATGGCATCCGTGAACTTTGCATGTTCTACTTTACATGCCTCTCGATGACCACACGTCGGTGTTCTCACGACTTGACGTCGACTTCGATTATGTACACCAAAGGGGAGCCAGTACCTTGTCTCCTCAGACCATAGCGTTAACATCTTTCTGCAGAGCCACTCCTGTGTCGATCTGCCACATTCATAGAACATAACACCACCTCAGCCGAGCCTCATTGCGCCTCTGGCAAAACCGCAAGAGAGCCGCATCATCGTAACATCTACATCCCACGAACGGTGCTGGAGTTGGTAGTTGCATCCTTGGACGGGTCGTCACTCCAAGTTTCTCCCGGCCTAAAACACCTTCATGCTGTATTCGATCTGCCAGATACGATACACAGCGGTGCTTAGACAGCGGCCTTGGTTGGAGGCAGACGTCACAGCACGTCCTGGACGCTTGCTGCGCCATAGATGAGCACTATGCTGGGTGTCAGGATACCGAAGAATGCAACGAGAGTTCCTTTTGCGGCTGAGTTCCTAGTGTTGATCATCGTCTAACGGCCAAGGAACATAACAGAGTCAAGTAAGGCTAGCCCCGAGGAACGGTTGCATGATTACCAGGCGGGCTGGGAAATCCATTAGAAACAACCCACCAACCCTTGGTCACGACGTACTCGGAGAATAAGGGCACTTCACCACGGCCCTGCTGCCAAAGATGATCGTGCGGGGGACGTAGAGGATATAGGGTCGAGGAGGAGCCGCAGAGGATGGGGAGGTCCCCAGTTACGTCACGGGCGACCACGACGCCGACGAGGTTGCAAAGAATTTCACCGTCACGGCAGCGCTGGCGTTCCGAGAGAAATTGAGACGACATACATCCCGGCTGACGTGGGCCTCGGAGTTTGTCACGGGGCGGCAAGACTCTAACTCGGCTTGCACAGTCTCTACGCCGCGGGTCCGGCCGGGGTATGCCGGGATCCGTTTTCCGGACGGAGGGCGACGGCAACAGCTTCGGAAGACGTTCCTGCCGAACTGCCTTCTTTGGCGCGCTGCGCAGTTGCCCTCGTCGCACTCTGAAGTTCAAGCCCCCCTCCTAGCATACTCGTCAGCGGAAGGTGCATCTCTCCTTTCTTTACCAGCAAAATAGCTGACGATATCGGTCCTCCTCCTGGCTAGTTTATGAATGCAGTGGTACTTCGATATCATGGAAAGAGCACTCACAGCACACGTTGAAACCCTGGGGTGCAAAAAAGCACCGTACATATTAACCCCCCGGACAGGGAAAAAAGACAAGAGCCTGGGTAATGTCGTAATATTGTCGCCTATAACCCTGCTGGAGAGTCCACCGACTGCGAGGGCAATGATGGCGAACGTCGTGGCACTGAGACAGGAAAGGAGGGCTTACACAGTCATTGTAAGGGATGGCCCATTGGGCTGAGGCCAACCAATAGCGTGTACATCCTCTTGACGCCTAGTGAACGGGAGCTATGGTTGATGGTCCTTGGCTCGTTGTATCACGCGGTGTTACACTTGGAAACAAGGAATTTGGGTCAGCGGAGGTTGGAAAAGGCTAGGGTGTCGCCGAGGAGGCCGTCTCGCATGAGGTTACGCGGTCTAGCATCTCCGCGCTCGCAGACCCGGAAAGCGCTAGGAAAATGAAGGTATTCCAGGTACTGGAAGCAAGGATGAGCATATGGATCATGTAAATCACGTCTGGATAATTAAATGGCCTACCACCTGCCCATCAATTATTGCCACCATTTCTTGACCTGATCATAGAACTAATGTATTCCACCGTCCTCAGCGTCTGCCCTTCTTCATTGTACTGAGCGAAGGGCTACTAATGATTTTGAACTTCATCGCAGGCTTGGATATAAGTCGACTTGAAAGCATCCGCTGCTCGCATCGCGTGCTCCCGCATGCTGTGTTCCCAGCAGAGCACCTCACACCTGCAAGTGGGATGAAGCTTGCAGATGTCCTTCAAATCAACTGTCTCGAAACTTCATTCATCCACGTTTCAGTGGTAGCTACAGAATTAAAGACCTTGTCTAGAGGAAATCGTCTCTCAAAAACTGTGGCACTAAAAATCCTTTCAAGGCGTCGTCCAGTAGTCCATGTCGAAACTTAAGGATGGGACACCAGAACACAGCCACACCAGTCACGAGAGAGAAGTGTTTTAACAAGACTGCGAAACTGCAAAAATTCTTCCGGCGTCACCAGGAACATGGACTTTGAATTGTCACCAATTTCTGGCTTTGTACGTGGGATTCCCCTTTCCATGAGACTCTTTGCTTGGATCACGACCATGGCGGAGGGGCACATACACACACATTTATCGCTCGGTCCAGTTCGTCCTGCAGATCGTTATCAACAACGTCAGGGTCCCGGCCAACTGAGCCAAATGCAGGTTTTGTCGCACAGAATTCTTCGGTATGCATGACCTTTTGATTCAGATCTCCTGGATTCGTCTTCACTGGTGAGACAGTCGCATGCATCGGGGTTGCCTTGTGAACCCCCAATTCGGCCATGGGGAATGCAATATTTAGATATTAATAGCTTTGTACAAACAGAAATGGAGGCGCAATTATTGTGGCATCGCCAACTAAATCTTGATTGACTTCCTTCCGAGACTCGGATGGAATGGTCGCCAGAAATGTCTCAACTTCGATGTCATGATCACGCGAGGAGAGCCGCATTCGAGAGGTTCTAGCGGCCCTCGCAGCAGATGCCGTGACCTCGGCGGCGAAGTCGCAACATGCGATGGGAGAGAGGGTAATCCGACATCTGCCATCGTCGGTAGATTCGTGCAGATTCTTCCGGATAGGACCAAAAGCTGTCAATGCTGCCGCTGCGGAACACTCCGAAACACGTTGAACCTCCTTGGATGATAGCGCTTGAAGCTGACGGACAAGACGTAGAAGACGAACACTGGTTCGAGGAGCCGAAACGGACGCTTCAAAGACGGCGCTGCTGACTCCAATGCAAGTTTCGGCGGCCGGATCTGACAGCTCATGGTGATGTGTCTAGCACGTTGCACAGCATCCATCAGCAACGTCACGGAGCACAGCTGGCATTTGCAGAGAATAAGCGCGCTATTTAGAGACGCAAACATGCGCGTCTTTGAGCTCGGTAGTGGTTTTCAGCCACCGCTTCGCGAAAGATTTTAGAAACCAAACCATCTTAACCTGATAGGGAAGCGGGATGCCGGCACCTCTAGTGTCGATTCCAAAGAACCAAATAGGCGCTGGTGGTCAGTAGTACCTCTTCAACGGCGTTGCGCCCGGCTCCGTTGGTGCAGCGCTTCCCAACACCATTGGAAGGCACTTGCCGGACAGCTCAATTCTATCAGCATAGCTATCTCTGAGGAGGCTGGAGCTGGACATCAGGAGCTTCAGAGCGTAGGCGACGGGGATGCTCTGATGGTCGCCGATTGCCATGACCCATTCTGTGGTTGTTCTTAGCATGTGCTGGGCCGTGCTCCGGGCTGTGTAGATGGGATGAAGCTGCTGCGGGTAGCTGGATGTGTGGTGCCAATGATCCATAGCAGAGGTCCATGTCAATGCTTCGGACGACGAAAAGTCAAGTGCACTGACACTACATCAAATACTAGCAGAGGTCGAGGACGAGAACTTAATGAGAGGGAGCCAGGGAAGGATGCCGTCATGGCGATTGACCGTGGTGGTGGTCGTCGTCGATGCAGGCGCTTACTGAGATCACCGCGGCGGTTACTTTCCCACAGTCTCATTTCAGACGCGAAGAGTCGAGCCAGACGGCTGTCACGCATGGGAGGCCCCGCGTCGCGGCCTCACAAAGTACGGACGGCTCCCGAGCACTTGCTTGGATGAGATGAAATGTGGTGGTATTGGCAGTTGTGAGAGGACGCAAAAGGCGTGTCAAGAGCCGTTCGCGTCACAGGATAAGGTTAGTAGGATGATGTGCAATGACGGCAGGCCTCCAGCGCGAGAAACAATCAGAAACCGCCGGAGCGTTTCAATTGACGTGCCCTCCAGTTCGCGGTGAGTCTGACGGTGCTCGACCATGGTCTGAGGTTTGGTTAGGTAAGCAGGTATGTACCCGCGAAGGGTAAGACGAGTGTGTGTGTGTGTGTGTGTGGATGGCAGCGGCACTTGCGGCGTCAGACTGAGGAGGGGTCGGGATGACGGGAAATGACACTGGAGACGGGAGATGAGTGGATCGGACCTCCGCTGGGTCCAGTAGGACAGTGAGCGGGCGGCTGATAGTAAACCCGGGCCTGGTTCGACGCCGGGCCGTTGATCTCAGCTGAAAAGGTGGTGACAATCACAGCTGGAGAGGCGCGATGGGCAGGGCGAGCAGGCAGGAACCCGACAGCTTTTGGTTGACTGAAAGACGGTGGGTGCGTATCCGTACTGCGTAAGGTACCTAGTAAGGTAGTGGGTGGGTGGTGGATGAATTGTGACTGAGTCGCTGGAGGTGGAGGCACTTTGGCGGAGGTGCCTTATCCTTGCGGACCCGGGCCAGATTGACATGGGTGGGGCCACCCTGTGGGCGGTACTTGCGATCTTGTACCTAAGCGAGAATTGTATCTGCAGCTGTGGGCGAATTTGGAGGTCTCGACTCATCTGGCCGCTGCCCGCAACATCTCGTTTTTAATTTTGACCGACTGACTGCCTGCGCAGCTGGATGTTTTATCTTTGACTCTTTGTAGACCTTCGCTTCTCTTGACTCTTGAGTATCGCAAGGCATCCCAGACTTTGGGCCAGCACGCCAGACCATAGCTGCATGCTGATATAATATATTGGACAATGTCCGAGTGGATCAAGGACATTGTCTGGCCGTTGCTATGGCGGCCTCTGACTGGCTCGCCATCCAGGATGAACCTCCCACCCTCCCATGCCGCTTCATAAGGTGCCATGGTACCGTAGTTCTGCAGCCAGAGAGCCTGTTCTTTTCTTCCGCTTCCCAGCTTCCCAGCTCGATGGCTGCAGTGATGATCCAGGGCTACCACACCCACTCAACACGGCCTACACTCGTCTAATCTGCCGCCTGCATAAAGTCTTGTTTATCACGCTGTGGGTTGCTGGGACTCTCACTTTGCAAGCACATGAATTCTCTCACTGTGATTGTGGTTGTATGTATCCATATCCGTACATGCACCACGGACATTGCGCTCTGCGTCTTTTTCACTACCCTGCCCTAGTTGCTAGCAGAGTACGTACTTGGTTGTGTAAATGGAATCGAGATACCTGGGAACATCCGTCGTACTCATGTACCTGACCTCACTCAAGGAAGGGGAAATGGTAGGTACTCAGGGAGGGAGGCAAGATAGGTACGTCCCTCAGGTACCGCCCACTTCTCCGCCCCCAATCAGAAAGGGGGAAGAAAAACTTCTCCACGTCCACCTCTCTCCTCTCCCGTCCGTCTCCTTCATTCTCCATTGGCATCTGCATCGGATCCTGTTTTCCCTCCCCCCCTTTTGCCCCATTCCGCGGCCTACCCTGGTCCTTTTTTTTTTTTCCCTCCTCCCCTCGACAACACCGCCGGAAGGTTGTTCGTCCTGTCTCGCCAGCTGCCTTCCCTGTCCCTGTTCACTCTTGTCTGCTGTATGCATAGCTCAACTCATCGTTGATTTGCCGCTCATTTGCTTGCTCTCTCCAATCTGCCGTCATTTCGGCTCTACACTACTCCGTACCCAATTGCCCACTGCATCTTCACCCCTCCTCATCTCCCGTCACCTTTTTGCTATCTTCGACCTCGTCGCCTCGCCATCTACGTCGCTACCTAGCTTGGCTTATCCCATCCTGCCCCATCCCATCCATCCCACGCTCGCTACTTCATCTTGCCTTACCTTAGTATTCCTTGGATCCCTTTTGTTTCACTCACCCCCTCCAGCCCTATCCCGTCCGTGCCTATCAATTGACACCTCTGCATTAATGTCCGGGTCTTCATACACTATTACATACCGTCACTCGCTACCTCACCTTGCCAACAACGTATCCATACATTAGACCTCACCATACCACCCTTCTTTACCGCTACATTGTCGCCGTTCACGGACTCAAAATCGCTGTTTCTGTATCCGTATATTCGTTCGTTCGCGCCGCACCAACACCACCAACACGCACATTCTTCCATCACTTACCAAACCTATATCGAACCCGAAGTCAACGCTTTCAGCCGTGTCGTCCCATCTTGATTTGACTGACGCATACTCCCGTTGCTGCGTCTTTCGACACGACAGAGCCAGAAGCACGTCCTGTGACCCTGACAACCGGCCAATCCGCCGTCAACATCCCAGCCATCTCGAGACACTTCACCAGTGCTTCGCACACACTGGGCATCAAGGGGTCCCTCCCCACAGACAGTCTGCTTTCGTCTCGTCTCATCATCCCTCGTCGGAAAGACAAGACGATCAAGCACCAGCCAAGCCCGTCGCCAGGGATTGCCCGCTACGCATAATTGCGCCTTGCGAACCATCCGCGCAACCCGCAACCACTCTCCTACCTCAAGGTTCCAACGCCCATATCCCAGCTTTCATTACAGCATAGCCTGGTCCATTTCCCTTGCTCCACGTACCCAAGCAATCCAAGGGGCCCTCCACATCCATCCACCTCTCTTCTGGACTGTTGCCCCATTCTCCCAAGACCTGGCCACGACCATCTCGACCTTCGTTACCGCCAAACAAGCTTTTTGTCTTGTTTTCTCTTCCTCCCTTTTGTTTCCTTACTTTCCTTTTTTTCTCGACACTCGGCGATGCAATGATGATATACGGGCATCAAGATATTGATCTCGCGGGTCCCAGTCCAGGTTCGCCTCCAGGTATGACGTCCTCCAAGTCGTCAAAGTCCTCTTCTTTCAAATCTTTCCATTCCGACGACACTAGCGTCCTGGACGACGTTAGCCACTTTGAAGAAATCGGTCTTGATGACGATGCTTCCCACTACGACACACAACGCGTTCGCGAGTCACATTCGAAGCCTTCTCAACCCTACGCCAGGTCCTACTCCAATGACTTCCGCCCTCCATCATGGAAACCACCGCACTCTCGTTCCCCTCCGATGACACGAGACCTCGCGAAGCCTAGAAGCACAGGTCCCACGGTAGACCTCACTCCCCACTCCCGTGTTTCCTCTCGACCACCCTTCTTGAGCTTGAAGACCGAGAGCCACCTCCTCAACCGCCGTAGCCCAAGCGCTGACCGCCTTTCCGACCCCCGTCGAAGCCCGGTGAACCCGGTGAACCCTCGAGGCTTCGCGAGCCACTCGACGACTTCCCTTCAATTTCCCCGCAAGAACCGCAGCCCAAGCCCGAACTTCTCCCTGCTACCGAGAGACCCCAACGTACCCCTGAAACCGCGCCGGGGTAGCTGGCAGTCGAACCAAGACAGGAAATCGACGTTTGAGTTGGAAAAGGAGTGTGACGAGGACGACACCGACGACATTCCGGATGGCCTCATTCTCGACAATGTTCCCATCTCCCCTAGACCCAAGTTCGAGCGCACACCAAGCAGGCCAACCTCCTCTGGAGCATCCCCCAACAGGCCGCCAAAGGAACGTGTCCGTAGTGTTGGCAACGGAACATCTCCGATCCCAGTTGAGACAGGATGCTTGCGCTCCCCATCGTGGAAGTCTGACACCGCTCTATCGTCAATTGGCGAGCGTGGGCCTGAGCCGCTCAAGACCCGGGCAAGGAGCTGGAATCTCGCATTGGCAGAACTCAATGCTGACGCCAAAGATTTGACGGAGAAGCTCGAAGAGCACTCGGATTCTGTGCGTGAAAAGGCCGCGGAAACTGCCAATCCTACAGGACGTCACACGTGGAATGGCAAATCTCTCGAGCAACATGCCCAGAAGCCCCGGGTCAAGTCCGCCCTTCCCGACCTTCCTTCACTTCGGAGCCAGACCAACATCATGATTGACCCACTTCCTATTTCCAAGGAGAAGGAGGCTGTGCTTAGTCGCACACGGCCATCATGGCTTCCTCCTAAGGACCCCGCGGAAGAGAAGCGTCATCTGCGTGAATACAAGAGAATGATGGCACGTAGCGCCGAGGCAGAACGCCGCCGCGAGGCCTCACGCTCGGCGCAAACGTCTTCACGAGATCTCAAGGCCGACAGCCTGATGCACATTTGGGAGGATGATATCATCCCGAGATGGACCGACGCCATCCGAGAACGCCGCACCCGCGAGCTGTGGTGGAAGGGAATCGCACCGCGCAGCAGAGGGCAGGTCTGGTCAAGGGCCATTGGCAACGAACTCGGTCTGTCGGAAAAGTCCTACAAGGCTGCCCTAGGCCGGTCTCAAGAGCTTGAGGAGCGAGTCAAGGCTGGCAAGGGTGATTCGGAGGACATCCAGAGAGCGGCGTGGCTGTCAGCTATCCGCAAAGATGTGGCCGAGCACACTTGGCAAGATCTTCGGATCTTCCAAGTCGGCGGACCTCTTCACCAGAGTCTCGTCGACGTCTTGTTTGCCTATGCGCTGTACCGGAGCGATATCGGCTATGTTAAGGGTTGCAACGTAAGTCCACCTCAGCTCCCATAAATACCGGTCTCTAGGACGTGATCAAACTAACTCCATTTGTAGACTGTTGCCGCCCTTCTTTTGCTGAATCTTCCCTCGCCGTCCGCAACATTCATCGCCCTCGCCAACGTCCTGAACCGTCCGTTGCCTCTAAGCTTCTACTCAGAAGATCCCGGTGCGAAGGCTTCGGCCTATAACCTCGTGATGCAGACTCTGAGCGTCAAGGCTCCCCGTCTCCACGAGCACCTGACTAAGGACATCTCCGAGGGTGACGCGGATTTCTACCTGGGCCATTTCTTCATGGGACTCGGAACGACACACTTGGCTATGGACGAGGCCGCTCGCCTGTGGGACGTGTACGTCTTTGAGGGCGATGCGGTCTTGGTGCGAGCAGCCGTGGCCACTCTCATGCGTCATGAAATGGCACTTCTTGGCGCCAAGTCCGCTGGAGAAGCCAAGAAGCTGGTCGAAAGCGGCGCCAACAAGGATGGCCGTAAGGCTGTCGTTGGTGACGATGGCGCCGAAGACCACTGGATGCGATCGGTTCGTGAAGCGGGCAAAGCCTAAACTTTTTTGAACGGCCTCATCTCAAAACATCCCTTTACGCTTGATGATTATTTCGGCTTTGGAAAACATACGACATGATCCTAACTGTTTATATCTAATCTCCTGGGCCGGTGTCGTACCGGCCCTTCCATCGGAGGGAATCGCACATACACCAAAAAAAAAAAAAACACTCAACTAAGCTCATTTTAGACAGTCGGCTGCAAGCTGTCTACTCATGGGCGTGTACAAAGAGCAACCGGCGTCTGCGGCGCGATGGACATTACTTGTGGGAGCTGGTTTTTGTAGCAACTTTTTTCTTTGACTCTTTACTGTACCAGACATACTATTCTCACCTGTCACCTGGCTGTTTCGCAGTGCGCGAGCATCTCATGGACATGGACAAGGACAGACATTCTTACTGTGGCGTGTAGATATATAGACGCTGGGCGCCGAGGAACTTGTCCATGCGGAACATGGCAAACCCGGCTTTCCTGCGGATAAAGCAAAGTCACGTTTCTTCCGGATGAGAAACGTCTTGGAAAGAGGATATCACCTGTACTGGCTTGACACCATCGTCGTTGGGTATATTGTTCGTCCCAAAGACGATTCTGGGGGTTTAGCATCAAACATTTTCTGGCGTCGCTAGCGATCCGCATTTTGTTTTCTTCATTCTTGAACCGGGCGGGGTTCAAACAATTTTTTCCGGAAGTGTCGACCACCTTTTTGATATCCCCTTCGTCTCATAGTCGTATTGTAGATCCACCCGTGCTAGCATTTATAACATGTTTACGCTTAGATTATGATAAAGCTCGTGAAAGAGCATGACATACGCGATGAGCACACCTTGACCTAGGTGGTCTTTGATAGACCTCGATCTCCGCGACGTTTGCCATTCGGACTTGTCTATGCGTAGACGTTCTGTAGCCCCAAACGGAAGACCCTGCGCGATATCGTGGAAGACGAGGTCGTAAGAGCCAATATCCGAGATCCTCCCCAAGTGAGAGGCCTCGTAGGATACGTCATTAGCTCACCTCACTTGCACTTGTCAATGGCACAAGATTTGTCTTCAAATCCTTGAATTAACCTTCCTGTGCAGATGCCCCAGCCTCACCTGACCGCCCAAATGAGAAAACAACTTGGAAAGGCTTGTGGCGGGCCCCTAAAAGACTTTTCACTCCTCATCTGGTCCCTTTTCTTTTCCAGGAACTGCGACAACTTGTGGGCGAACGATTTCTGCTGCTTCGTCCTCATCTAAAACACAAAACCCCAAACCCCTTTGTCTTGTCTACTACTTTAGTTGACAATCTCCTCCGTCTCCTCGAGCACCTCCTCCACAATCTCCTCAATGATCTGTTCCTCACCATCGCTGGTCTGCGTCTTCTGGGAGAGAAGGTAGGCAACAATGTCGGCGGGCAGGCCGAGGTCCTTGCGCTCCTCGGCAACCTCCTCTTCGATGGACTCGCGCCAAGCGACCCACTCGGCGAGCTGGCGGCGGCGGGCCTCGACGACCTCGCGGTCGGCGGAGGCGCCACGATCCATGTCCTCCTGCTCAAAGACGCGGCTGTACTCGCGCAGGTTCTTGCGGATCTGCTTTTGCTCCTCCTTGCTGAGCAGCGTCGCGGGGCGCGGGCGCCACGCGAGCTGCTTGAACTTCTCGATAGGCTCCTCGCGGAGCGCTTCGCCCTTGAAGTCGTAGATGTGGTATCCGTTTTCCATCTATATAGTCAGTCTGGTCAGTAATTGCAATCGTAGTGCTGGCGAGACTCGGTGACAACGTACAGAGTGCTTCCATGCAGAGGCCCAGGTGGCGACGAAACGTCCTGAGGGGTCCCACTCAATGTCAGTAACGCCGTAGTGGTCGCCCGTGTTCATGAGCTGAAGGTTGGCGGTCAGATCCTTGTCTGACTCGGGCTTCTCGCCCTCAAAGTCGAGGTCGAAGAAGTCGAGGTCGGAGCTCTGCTGGTTGTGGACGGTGGCGATGACGACGAATCTGCCGCGCGGGGACCAGTAGATGGCGTTGCTATTCTTCTTCTCCAGGGTGCGGAGGTGCTTGAAGTTGCCAACAACATTGCCCTTGGCCTTCTCGGGACAGAAGAAGGCGACGGACGTCTTGGGGGCGACGGCGACAGCGCCGGCGGGCTCAGTTGTCGTGATAATGACGAACCTGTCGCCCTTGGGCTCCCAGGCGAAGTTGATTACGGTGTCCTTGATAGTGTCGACGACCTCGACAGGGACGCCCTTCTCCTTAATGCGGAAGATCTCGAGAGTCGTGGCCTGAGACTTCTTGGACTTGGAATGACGATCGACCTTGACGCAGAGGTATGAGGCATCGGATTGCCAGTGGAGCTTGGCGTCCGAGACGCTGAAGAGGGGCAGTTGACGAACAACCTCCTTGCTGGGGATGCTCATAAGACCGACTTTGGCGGGGTTGCTGCCGATTTCGGGTGTCCAGTAGGTAAGAAGTTGCTCGTACGTCTTAACGCCCTCTCTTTGGACGCTAGCTGGGGCCCAGTCGAACTCCATGATGCCCTCGATCTTGATAGAGGTCTTGTCGAGGAGGTTCATGCGGGGGAGCTCGTACACAGAGATACCGGTCTGGTAGTTGAGACGCGCGACGTAATTGTCATCAGCAGACCACTTGAAGGCGGGCCAGAGAAGCTTGCGCTGCTTTGCCTCGTCCATGCCCTCCATGTCCAGGTTGGCAAAGGAACGGATGGGCTTGCCGGACTCGACACTCCAGATAACATAGTTCTTGCCATCATCGTCAACAGACAAGGCCGGGTGGCCCTCGTCGGGGATGGAGATGGGGCGGGCAGACCATGTTACCAGGTACTTCTCGGAGGGGGACCAATCGACGAAGGTGACGAAGGGGTGGGGGAAACGCTTCTGCCGTGACCACGACGGACCGCCCCAAGTCTGAACACCCTGGGCGTGGACCGAGGTGAGGTAGGTTCCTTGCGGCGACCACCGGATGAAGCTGTCTGTCCAATTTTGACGGTCAACAACGTTCTCGGGGATATCCTTCTCGTTGTTCCAGAAGACGCCGACAGTGTCGCCACGGTACATTGCGAACTGGTCTCTACCACGGCCGCTGGGGTCCTTCATGAATGATCTCAGATGCTCCGTCTCTGTGAACTCCTCAATTTGAGGCGGCGTGTACTCCTCGTGGACCTTGCCTTCGCGGCCGTAGCGGTCGATATCGGTGAGCTTGTTGACGCGGAGGGTGTGCTTCTTGTCGAGGGGGACCTGGTCGAGTCCGCGAACGGCAGCGGCAGCCTCGCTGGGAGATGAGTACTCGACAAAGGCAAATCTAAACGGCCGTCATCAGCATCGCTGGTATATTTCGAGCGCGACCCGTCCCTTTGGATCAGGTCCCGGATTGGATCCACCGAGCCAAACATACCTCAACGACTTTCCATTGTCGCCCATGGGCATGTAAATCAAGTCTTCTCTTGTCTTTCCAACAGAGTTCAGCTTCTTCAGCAAGAACTTGACCAGCTTGGGCTTCTGGTCCTCGTTGACTTCGGGGAGGCCATCAATAACCACGAAGGTGTCATATCCCTGCTCCAGCTGAACCTCGTACTTTTCGCGCAGGTCGGAGATGTCGATCTCCTCCTCGTCGTACTCGTCGTCGTCGAGATCTGCCTCGCGCAGATGGTCGAAAGAAGGCGCCATGATTGCGACGACTGATCAGTCAACAGTCGAGGTGTGGCGGGTTTTTTTTCTTCGGATCGGGGGACGGAAGGGAGGGGGGTTTGCGTGTCTCTCGGTGAGGATCGTTGCGATGGCCTTTCTGTGGTGGGAGGAAAAAAAGAGGTGCCAAATAGAGTGGGGTCGGGAGGCTTTCCAGTGGTTGAAAATGCCCCGCGATTTTCTCGGTTTTTTTGTGAGGGTTTTCGGCCTGCGGAGCGCTTCAAAGTGGCTCTGGATGCAAGGTAAAATCGGTGCAAATTCTACGAACAGGCTCCGGAGTTTTAGAGGCAAGTTTTTTTATCAAGTATCTGGATCTCACGTCTGGAAGGGGTAAGGTAGTCAGTGCTACGGGAGGCAACAGGCACCAAACGGCTGTCGCGCGCACAATTTGGACCTCGTTTTGGAAAGTTTTTGGTGATATGCCAGAATCGTGTGGGCTGGATTATCGGGTTGTTCCGGCCCCGGAGGAAGCCCCTCGCTACTGCCTACCCCCAATAGAGTCACGTGATACGTCTGCCACCCCATACCGTGAGGCACCTTTTCCCAATCGGACTGCTTCAGGGTCGCTCACCGCCCAGAGAAGCTTCTTCGATAAGATGTAACCCCGCCAGGTGCCAGGTGCTGCCGTGAGCGGTGGCGCGCACTGACCACTGACAACTGTTACAGTGGAGGATGGACGTCTGTAGAAACACCACAGCAGCTCTGCTCTGCTCACCAGACTGCCTGGAAGCTCCTGCCCAGCACCCCCCACTTCGCCAGGCTGAACCCCCCCAAATTTTCTACGACGATTTTCTCGGTGAAGCTTCCCCAAGGCTGAGGAATCCGTACAACCCAGACACCTTTGTTTCCCCCCACCCACCGAGTCACCGATTCGACTTCGATACAGAGTGTCTGCATAATACACATTCACCATGGTTCGTCTTGAGAATCTGCTCCCCCGTGTGCGTGGGTCATGGCACTGACAATAGTGTGGCGCCCCTCTAGTCGTCCTTCAGCCCGACACAAATCTTCGAGGACGGAACCACGGAGGAGAAGGGAGAGAATGCCCGTCTTTCCGCCTTCGTTGGCGCTATCGCCGTCGGCGACCTCGTCAAGAGCACCCTCGGTCCCAAGGGAATGGACAAGATTCTGCAGTCTGCGTATGTTGAACCTCGTCCATCTTCAAATCACCCCCATTCCTGTTTGATCCACTGACAAACATGGCTGACAAACTTTCAGGTCAACTGGCGAGATCATGGTCACGAACGACGGAGCTACTATCCTGAAGTCTATTGCTCTCGACAACGCGGCGGCCAAGGTGTTGGTAAACATCTCCAAGGTCCAGGACGATGAGGTCGGCGATGGCACTACATCCGTTGCTGTCCTTGCGGCGGAGCTTCTGCGTGAAGCCGAGAAGCTTGTCGACAAGAAGATCCACCCCCAGACCATTATTGAGGGTTACCGGATAGCAAGCCAGGCCGCCCTCAAGGCCCTGAAGGAGTCAGCCGTCGACCGCAGCAACACTCCCGAGGCATTCAGAAAAGACTTGCAGGCCATCGCCCGCACAACTCTCAGCTCCAAGGTTCTGGCCCAGGACCGCGACCACTTCTCTAAGCTCGCCTGCGATGCCGTGCTCCGACTCAAGAACTCCTCCGACCTGAGCCATATCCAAATCATCAAGAAGGCGGGTGGTAAGTTGAGCGACTCGTACCTCGACGAGGGTTTCATTCTCGACAAGAAGATTGGTGTGAACCAGCCCAAGCGTCTGGAGAAGGCCAAGATCTTGGTGGCCAACACCTCCATGGACACAGACAAGATCAAGATCTTTGGCGCGCGCGTCAAGGTGTCATCGACTAGCAAGCTGGCCGATCTTGAGAAGGCCGAGAAGGAGAAGATGAAGGCAAAGGTGGAGAAGATTAAGTCGCACGGCATCAACTGCTTCATCAACAGACAACTCATCTACAACTGGCCCGAGCAGCTTTTCACGGATGCCGGCATCATGTCCATCGAGCACGCTGACTTTGACGGCATTGAGAGATTGGCGTTGGTGACGGGTGGTGAGATTGCCTCGACCTTTGACCATCCCGATCAGGTCAAGTTGGGACAGTGCGAGCTTATCGAGGAGGTCATTATTGGCGAGGATACTCTGATCAAGTTCTCTGGCGTCGCCGCCGGCGAGGCATGCACGATCGTTTTGCGCGGTGCCACAGATCAGCTTCTGGACGAGGCAGAGCGCAGTCTGCACGACGCCCTTGCGGTTCTATCGCAGACTGTGAAGGAGCCGTGGACCACTCTGGGTGGTGGATGCGCCGAGATGGTTATGGCCAAGGCTGTCGAGGGTGCTGCCACTCGCGTTGAGGGCAAGAAGCAGATGGCCGTCAGCAGCTTTGCGACTGCGCTGCGCCAGCTGCCCACCATTCTGGCGGACAACGCAGGTCTCGACTCTGGCGAGCTTGTAGCGCGTCTGAGAAAGGCCATTTACGACGGCATGACGAATTATGGATTGGATCTGCTGTCACCCGGTGGTGGCATCACCGACATGCGTGACTTGGGTGTCGTTGAGAGTTACAAACTAAAGAGAGCGGTTGTTTCGTCTGCCAGTGAGGCAGCAGAGGTACGTCTCAGTCTCATCTCCAACCCCCTTGGCTCCTGATTGGTGTTGATATTGATATTCGGAATCAATGACTAACACGTAGCAGCTTCTTCTTCGCGTAGACGACATCATTCGCGCTGCTCCTAGACAACGGCAGCGCGCTTAAAGGACACGCCAGTGATGGCAGCACATGAAGAATTCTCGGCAGGAATGGGAGGTCAAGAGAGGGTGAAAAAGTCATATTCGCATGTTGACGTTGAGTGAAAGACAAAAAGTGAATACCATAGACTGGGGGGATCAATCTTGGGCTGAATGAATCAATGGCAGTGTCATGAATGACTCGAGCGTCCTGTCCGTTGGCGGGTTTCGGCACCCATGGTGTCGTCTCATGCATTTTGGTGGTGACTTACAGTACACCTTTGATGCTTCCCAGTCTCACGAGCCGACAGTCGACAAAACGAAGTGGCCATGAGCTGAACTGCGGCTGAGATGTGAGGCTCTGTTCGCCCTACTGCATCGGACGGCAAGGCATGGTGCATGCATGGGTGGTGTGGGTGATGGGAAGAAGCGGCTCAGAATCGGACGACAAGTTACAACAAGCTTCGCCTTGCCCCTGGTGACGACGAAGAAGGTTCCCTGGTGCATGATCGACGCGGAGAGCCGATGCCAGTTGGGGTAATAGGCAGCAGGAGAACTTAATTTCTCCGCACGGCATTGGTTGAGATTCTCCTGTCCGTGCAAGCCAAAGTATTAGTCGGGGATTTGTAGGGTATCGGTACTTCCTTCATCCTCAAATATCCCGTCTCTGGTCCAGGTTGTTGGTTCATCGCAATCTTGCTTTCGTCTCTTGTACCGTTGGCACCTCTCCCAGAGCTATGGATCCGGATTCCTGATGTCCAAAAGAATAACACAAAATAAAAATGGGCAGAGACGCAAAACAAGTAAGGTCCACCGGGCCCGCAGATCGGAATGTCGAGGGATGGAGCCGGAGCGCAAGCATTGTCCAGGAGTCGCATTGATTCGGTTCTTCTCCACACAACCACAGCCGCTCTCACGGTCTTGCCAGCAGTACCTCCGTAAGATCCAAGGTACACGTACGCCGGCGGCCGGGCAGTAACATCCCTCAGGCATGGGGTTGAACCCAGGGCTTAGTCTCCTATTTTTCTCTGCCGGGTACAGCAACTCGGGCATGGCTCCTTCTCCGCTGCCATCCTTTCGTCTTTTTCCCTTGCCGTTGTTTATCGACACCACTTCCCGTCTTCATATTCCTCAATCCCGGCATACAAACGGCCCCATTCAGTTGAGAGGATTACGCAGTAGCGAAGCGACAAGCCAGGCCCAAGCCCAGACCCAGGCCCAGACCCATCTCAACCCGTCTCACGCCACGTTTCTTGGACGACGGTGTTCAATACGGGAACGGGATGTACAGCTCCAACCAAAGGTTCCTATTGCACCCTCGTGTATGGACCGGCTGTTCGGCACAATGACGGTAGAATGCTACGCCGTACTGGACGGGTGGCCCGCCTGGACATGATTGGCCCGTTCCTTGGTCAGAGATAGAAACAAGGCACAGCAAACGCTACGACGGGCTCCCAGCCCCTCCAAGTTCTCCAAGTTCTAACTAGGAAAGGTTGGCAGGCAGTCGTTCTTGTTTGTCTCGCATAAGCATAACTGCGTGTAGCTGCGGTAGCGACTGTAGCCAAGCAGGGCCCCGAGATGTGGACGTGTGTTTGTCACTCAGCCAGGTTGTGTTTGTGTGTGCGCGTGTGTCGGGCGTACGCTAGCCATTCTCCAGGAAGCACTGCCCTCGAGCCGGTCGTCTTGCATGTTCCTATTCCTTCTACCTCTTCCCCGTCTCTGTCCTTGTTCTCTTTTCCTTCTCTCCTTTTGGTCTGGACTCTGGACCCGGTTCAGCTTTGACCTGCTCTGGCCTTTCTTCCCCCCCCCCCGTCAGCTTGTCACTTTGCCTGCCGCTTCCATCTACCTTACCTATTCATAGGCGCGCGTGCACACAAGTCTGCCCATGGTGTGGAATTGGACCAAGATCATGGTCGCGTAGGATTTCTGACCGTAGCATAATCCTTTTGGCATTCTCCTCTCGTTCTTCTTCTCGCATCCCAGACGACTCCTCGTCATCTGCTTAGGTATTCCGTTGCATCTGCCGCCTCCGTTTCTCCGCTTGCCAAGCCGGCTCTGGGCAAGGCGAGTTGACACAGGCCGATGGCGGCCCCGCTGAAGAGACACGGCATCTTGGCGGCTTGGTGAGTGAACACCATCATTCCATTCCTTGCTGTACGCCCATACGGTCTCAGATCAGTTCTTGACTCGGTTTTCTCTTTTCTCGTTTCTCGCCCAATTGCGTTTCTTCATGCAGTATTGACCTCTTGTCACTGACATTGGACATAATTCCAGTATTCTGCTTCTTGCATGTACAGCATGGATATCCTCACGGTTTAACAGCAGCGCCGCTTTTGGTCAGTAAAACCCACGGGCACCCGGCCTCATCTACCGACTGCGACACAGACCATCGCATATACAACGACCACTAACACCAAACAGAGCGGCCAATACACTTCTCCATCTTGACGCTCCTCGAATCCGGTCTGCTCATTGCAATATTGTGCATACAGCTCTCGCCATGGAAAAGCTCGAGCAGCAGCGGGTACCATCTCGTAACCTTTTCAACCTCGAAGCATGACTGGCAAAGACGACTCCAAGCCGGCATCGATGTCGCGCGCAACCCTCGCTTCTTGTTGTCGCCCTACTTCTTTCTAGGATGCGCCCTTGTACTGCGATCGCTGCTCTTCTGGCGCACCATCCGCACGATTCACTGCTCGTGGGAGAGCTTCGAGGTTAGTCTACGAGCAGTTGCCGCACTGTTGAGGAAGCCCACCATCGTGAAGGACTAACACGCCGCACGCAGGTATTTCTCCCAGCTCTCGTCGCCCTTTATACGACGGCGTCTCCGTCCACAATCCGACTCCAACAACACAATGGCGACCAAGCCCGATCCCGACGCTGCTGTAACGTTGCTCACTTGCGCTACCTCATCATCGCTATCGTTTGGGCCTGCGCCACGAGGGCCACCCTCTCACTATCGACACGATCTGCCGGCGCGATCTGTCCCGCAGGCTTCCTTCGCTGGGAAAGACAGATTCCCCTGGCCCAGGTCGTCACAGTCAATTTGGATGCGCTGCTGCTCTTCGGCCTTTCGAAATGGCGGCAGGACGCTGTGGACGATGCACCGCAGGCTTGGAAGTTCGCGTCGAGGCTTTTTCTGGGATCTGCAGGTGTACTGGCCTTGCTTGCCTGTTTCTCCCTCCACAATCTTCAAAACATACGATGGGCGTTTGGGCTGCACTTTGTCGAAGTACGAGATCTTTTGGCGGACAGCACGGTGGCGTCGCTTGGTGTGATTTCGGGGTTTTATGTCATAAGTGACATGCATCCCAGCACGCTGGGGATGATTATCACGGCTTCAGGTGTTTATGCGCATCAGCTCGTCCGCATGCTGCAGGCAGTGGCGCCCATGGACGGCTCTCTGCCCTACATGATAGCCAGCGGCCTTACGATAGCAGGCGTCGGCCTCCTGTTGCGATACGAAAAGGACATCGCCAGCGCCTCTGGCTCGTCATCAGGGGACCCACGGCTCATCCGGTTTCTCATGGGGTGGTACGTCGTCCTCGTCGGCTTCCTCTGCGGGACTTACCTCATCTTCTATCCCGATTTTAACTCCACCGATACTATATCCTTTCCCGATCTCCTTTCTGCAGCCAATACCCAATCCGACGCCTGGATCGCGCACGCGAATCAGAGCTCCACCCTGGTGAGCGCGGTGAACGAATATCAACGGCGTTATGGTGTGGCACCGCCTCCCAATTTTGACAAGTGGTTCGAGTACGCTGTCGCCAACGGCTCGCCCATTATCGACGATTTTACTCAGATCAACGACGATCTACTCCCATTTTGGGGTGTTGCGCCGGGCGTATTGCGGGACCATACGAAGCATTCTTTGGAGGTGCCATGGCTTGGGATGGGAGGCATTCGGGTTCGTGGGGGAAAGGTTGGTGTGGCTCCCGGCACGCCTGGGTCGCACATGTGGATGATGCATTCGATGAAGAGTATGATTGAAGACTTTGCCGAGCATCTGCCCAACATGGACTTCGCCATTAACCTGAACGACGAGCCTCGTGTGGCGATTCCATTCGAAGACATGTTGAGGCTTCACAGCATTGGCTCAGGACCGAGGACAAGGCTACTCCATTTGAAGGACCGGAAGACGTTTGACGGATCCAGGCCGGCAGTCTGGAGCGACGAAGACGCTGTCAGGGGACCCGAGGAGCGGTCTCCCCACTTCACCGACCGCATCCGAGACCAGATCTACTACGACTATGTCGCTCCAGCCTGCCCGCCTGATTCAGCCGCTCGAAACACAAGATGGTGGAGCCGGAAGGAGGCGTGTCGCGGATGCCTTCTACCCCACGCTATCCGCGTCTTCGAAGCACTTGAGAATCCCGTCGTGTCAAATTGGACCTCGGCAACAGATCTCTGCCACCAACCGGACTTGGCGTATCTTCATGGATTTCTAGTGTCTCCTGCGCCGGCCCTTTTCACGAAAGAGGCATTTCCCGTGTTCAGTCAAAGCAAGACTTCGGGGTTTGCCGATATTCTGGTGCCTTCGCCTTGGAATTACGATGACAAGGCTTCCTATGATGAAAACGAAGACATGGAATGGAGTCAGAAGAAGAACACCATGTTCTGGAGGGGGTCGTCGTCGGACGGATACGCAGCCTGGGGCTCGTGGCAGGGCTTCCTCAGGGCTCGGTTTGTCCAGGCTGCGAATTCGATAATGAAGGTTCCCAAATTTCAACAAGATGGTCAGAGGCAAATCTCAAGATCGGAAGATCTGCCAGATTTTGACGTCGGCTTTGTGAGTAAATGGTCCAAGTGCCACGCAGATGACTGCCAGAGCGAAAAGGACACTTTCTGGGGTATCGGACGGGACTCTCCAGACAAGCCCAAGGTCCCCTTCACCGATCATTGGAAGTACGCGCACCTGATGGACCTCGACGGCGCGGGCTTCAGTGGACGTTTCATTCCCTTCCTCCGCAGTAAGAGCCTCGTCTATCGTTCCGGTCTATTCCGGACTTGGTTTAATGAAAGGGTCCACGCGTGGCGTCACTACGTCCCCGTCGATGTGCGGCTCCACGAGCTTTGGGATATTCTGTTGTACTTTGGTACTGATACAGAAGGCAAGAGGCGAGCAGAGGTCATTGCTGAGGAAGGGAGGGCTTGGAGCCGCAAGGCGCTCCGGAGGGAGGACATGCGTATTTACATGTTCCGGCTATTGCTGGAATGGGGACGACTTGTGGATGATGAGAGGGAAAATCTTGGGTTTGCGGTTTGAAAATACCCCTTTTCTGTATCTTTCTTTGCAGTGCTGGTTCGCGATAGCATGGGATGGATGGCGCAACTTGGATGAGAACTGGGCCACCGGCGTTGGGTTGATCAAAGGGCTCATGCTTGGCATCCCGTTGATAGAGCATCGAGGGATAACGAGTAACGAACACGATTATCGGTAGCGGCTTGCGGCCACCCTAGGTATATAAATGAGGACATCACTGCCATGTAATGCCTTTTCTTGGTTTCTTTCCGATCCATTAGTGTGAAGTACTGACTGACCCCTTCTAAGCTCAACGATTATGCCTGTTCTTGGACAACCGCCAGTGACCCGGTCTGGCTACCTACACTGTTGAACAACCAGAATATTCAAGGTGTTTATCAAGGATTCCCGCCAGAATCAAGACATGGAAGTTCTGAACGAGCCACGTCACAGTCAAAGGCGGCAACTTGTTCCTGTCAGAAAAGACGTTTGGAAGATTGCCTCGAATGATCAAAAAGCGAGTTTGCATTTCATAGATCAAATCACATCATCATCGAGGAGTAAAGCAGGATTCAAATCTTAATTATAACTCACCACAGCCTGATGCTCTGCTTTCTATGCAATGACTCTGGCCCGCGATACTTGGATTTCGGAACGAGAACGTTATACTCTAGAAGCAGGAGTGATTCCCATCATCGCGGAGAATGAGCTCCATATCAACGTCGGTAGTAAAGTAAGCGTGTGATGGGAACCATTGCGGAGGAGCGGCGACCAACCTCAGTATCCATGGCAAATCCGACTTCGTCTCGTTCCTGGCTTGCGGGACGAATTTCTCCGACATGTAGGCTCAACACCAGTGAAAGATTATAGATAATTAAGCAGCTAGATGATAGATTATAAGGCATAGAATTTCCAAGGCCAAACTTGATTCAAGTTTGACCACTTGTATTGGATGCCTCCGAGTATTACGTGGTGAGGCAAAAGAAAAGGTACAAGCATTTATACGAAGGCTTTGCAACTACCCATAATATTCGCAAATACATTGCATAAACCAACGATACGACAAAATTCACAAGCTGCGTACACATATTGCCATCTTTCATGGCTCAAACTGTACGTTCCACTTGATCGCATGGTTGGGAGAATACGGCTTTGGATCGGTCTTGGCTGTACCAAGGCTAACATGCGATTCTTACGGGCTACCGCAATAGTTCTACTTCATTTCGGCTTGCACTCAACAGCTTGCCGGCTGCCAGCCGCAGAGTAGAGCCTGCTAATGCTGCACATCCGCCTCCCGGTATGTTCCTCCCGGCGCTGGAAGCGATAGGGGCAACGGTGGCACCTACTGGCCCAGTACGAAGGTGACATGCTACAACATCTTGAGCTACCTCGCGAGGTATCAGGCTCTCCTTTGGGGCTCGGAGAAGGCGTTTGTGAGACGCGGGGTTGGATTGTTGGGGTGTCTCAGGCGCCACGGATGGGGCTGGCGTTGTCTGACAGGAGGCACAACTTTTGCTCATGCTGATATACAAGGCATGACAGAGGGCGACAGGCTACCTATCGCCCTTTGGGCCTGTCGTTGCTTTCCTCTCTCCGAGAAGCATATGAACCGCTTGGGAAGCTACTCGCAGTAAGCTGGTTAGTATTAAGAGTGTTACAGCATTTGCCGATGAAGCTTTTGAGAACGGTGGCATGTCGAGGAACAGAAATGGCAGTGGAGGCACGATATGCAGATCTTTGAGACGTGTACTTTCACATGTCTACGACATGATCTGCCGTTCTCTCGAAAGGCGGGCAGCAGCCAGACAGGCAAGCAGCCGTAATACCGTCACATTGAGTCCGCGCCGGGTATCATTCTGACGTCCTGTCACGAGGGATTTGGACAGCGAGATTCTTCATAGGGACATGCACGATAACATTGAGGGAGGGTCTGTTTGACATGCAGCGGTATCTGGTGAGAAACTGGATTCATGTATCGTTGATTGGCGGTCAAGAAGCACTGGTTCAGGCTCACGCGACTGAGGCGGTGAATAAGAGGGCGTGTCCAAAGCCTGACTTGAGACTTGAGGCCCGCAGTGGCAATCTATGAAAAGATTCACCGCGGTTTCTTGCCGGTTTCAAAATTTCGATTGCTTCCAAGAGAAAGCTGTATGCCAGAAGGAATGTGTGAGGCTGTGGTTATGGCCAATGTCTCACCCAATCACTCACTCACTCCGAGTCACATTTTCGTAAACTCTTTTTTCGAGTGACATGCTGGAGCTAGAGCTGTCAGTCATCCGGACGGGTCCTGGGGCAACCGAGACAAAGTGTTGTCAGCTGAAAGCCTTACGAGACATGGTCATCTTTAGCCGCAAAAAGTCAAATCTTTCATCAGCTGCGGATGATTGGTGCTAATGCGAATGCCCTTCCTCGTTGTCGTTGTCGTTGTCGTCCTCGTACTCTTCCTCATTTTCCTCGACAAGAGATTTCGGAGCAGCGTACCCGTACACAATCCCAAATTTCCTCCAAAACGGCTAGGGCAGATTAACCTGACTGAAACGCCACCCTCCCCTCCGGGACCAGGCGGGACGAAGGAAATATTCCGCCTCTAGCCAGTTTTACTGCCAATCAAGCGATGTTCGGCCCCGACTCGTGTATCTCTGCGTTAACTCGCAGGACACTTTGCCGAGACGGGGAGGTATCAGCAGAGTGCCAATGCCATCGTTCCCTGATTCCCCTGCAAAGCTAACGAGTGTGAGTGCTAGCAAGGGGTGAACAGAGGATGTCGTGACTTTTGAAGCAGGTTGTGGCGCCTGTCACTACCGTCTCGCGTACCTACTATGGTAGGAAGCAAATCACATGTAAAGGGAATTGGTCTTGTGGTCCGTGAAAAGAACCCAGCCTCGGTTTCGTTATGGATGAGCAGTGGACGGCACCACACCATGATAGTACACAACGGTGGGCCCGAGTTGCGCGAGTGCCATGATGAGCAGTGCAGGCTCGGTCTGCAAAGGCGTCGTGCAAATAGCTGTTGGCTGTGGCATCTGGATGATGGATCTCGAAGGCACACTTTTTCCCCTGGCGCCTCGTTGGTTCGCTGCCGGAACGGATATTACTCGAGGCTGGGGAGCACAAGAGGATCAAAATCGAACAATTACCATGTGATGATTGGAATTGGTAGTAAGCAGCAGACGCCTTGTCGACAAGCAGCTTGCCCCGATCCTTGTCCCTCGTGTAATTGAGTATGTTGGGATGGCCCCCGAGGATCTCGATGGTCTCAGCGGTGGGTGGAACAGTGGTAGAAGGTCTCCGCGATACTAAAAGCGAATGGAGCTTTGTTGTCCAGTCCACAGAATATCATAATGTCCGGCATTGATGTTGATCAGTGAGAAAGGGACGATTCCACGCAGCTTCCATAGCAAGCACGCAAGGTATCCATCCGTTTTGAAGCATTCAAGACCTGAACTTCCCGAGGTACGTAACCCTGGAGAGAGCAGGAAGTTGCGAGAGTACGTAAGGTACAGAGTAAAGACAGGCGATTCATCCCTCTGAGTGGGGTTCGGTCAGTACGTACCTCGTACCAATGAAGCTCTGCCATCGCGACAAGGCCCTGCCCTGGACTGCAACCATCTCAACAAAATCGAACCCCAACAGAAAATTTCAAGGGCAGCAAATAAAAATAAAAAAACAAAAAGTAGGGGCAAAAGGAGGGCAATCGATCTTCACGCTACAGAAGCGAAGCAGGCAAAACCGGACCCTGGAATGCCATGATGCTTCCAGAAAACGGCGTTCCCACCTTGTTTCAGGGTCTTTACGTCCTGTTCAAGCTGCGAGCTGTGGAGGATGGCAGTCGAGCGACTCGATCCCAGACCGTTTCATCCTCTATCTCGCGGGTTTGCCCGAGGTAAATCGAGTCGAGTCCAGTCGAATTGCCGTACGTATTGTTGTTGTCGTTGTTCGGCCTCGCCTTTGGCATGGCAGATCTGGTGCGAAAATTGAATGCCATGCAATGCGATTCCGCAAAGTTGCCGGCGGGCGAGACGCATTTTTGGCATTTTTGAGACGTTGTATCCGTAGACTAAGGTAGACGAAAAGCGAAGGCGTCAATTCAAGATTCAAACCCCTTCCCCAGCTGCGGGCCCTTGATTGGCTAGCCGCGTCAGCAGCTTGCCCTACTCCCGATTGGCTGGATCAGGCTGGAGACGTTGCTGGCCAATTGTGAGGCTCCAGTCTGTCGCGTCTTCCCAGCCCGCCCTGCTTTCCGCTGCTGCTTCGTTCGTGGGGTTAAAACGGAAGGAGAAAGGAGAGCCACTTCGTTGCGTGCAGAAGTACGTACAGTTTGTACACCCCTGTCAACCAACTGAGAAGCGTGGGGAACCTGGGTACGTACTGCCGTCCCTGAGGGCGGGCACCTTATCGATCGTATCCCCAATGATTCCTGCTTCCTGATTCCTGTCAACACATTAAAAGTCCAACATTTTGGCCCCGGTCTATTGCGGCGCAAGAGGATTCTCCGCCGTGTACTTACATTGAGACTCACCCCAGGGACATCCCATATTGAAGCAGAATCTCCTGATTGCGAACCTGTCGGAGTAAATCGGCGGAGAGAAGTTCCAACTCCCAAGGCAACAAACGTACTGGGCACGTTGGGGTACGGTTTGCGGGCATGTGGTGAGATCAAGACGGACATGAACTGCGAGTCAAATGGTACAGGGTTTGGGGTGGTTGTTGATCTGACTCGATATTGGCTGCGCAGCCACACTACCGTTTACCCTACGACTGGAGGATTTTCCGATCTGAATCTTGCCCCGAGCAAGCGCCATCTTCACATGCACAGACGAACGCCGGTTTGTGCCAAACGTGCAAACGTAGGCTCGACATCTGGGGGAGTGACTGGTGGCCGGTGGCTGCACCACCTCCTAGAACAAGACCAATCGACGGCCTGCGTGTAGCACGCTTGCTACAAGACAAGACGTCAGCGAGCGCCAGTACGACCCGGGATGCATAACGGGAGCGGCAAGACACCTAGTGCAGCTCGGGCGGCA